ACAACCTGTGTGTGTGTGAAACTGAGTAAAATGAGGTCACGTGTGTGGACCCATTGTCAGCTCTCACATCCGGTACCTGTGGTCCTGACAGTTTCTGAGGTTGGAAATAGATCGGGGCAGAATGGGACCAACTGCTCAAGAGAGCGGTCCAGGGAGTGGCTGCTGTAAGACCTGAGATGAGGGAGATGTTCTCACGGACAGCTCATATGGCAGAATGGCTAAGGGCATGGGCTGCCTGGGTTCGAATCCCAGCCTTGCTAATTGCTAACTGAGTGAACTTGGACACTTTTCTTAATCACATGGTTCTTCAACGTCCTGCTCTGTAAAATGGACATTATGATGTTGTTTGAGGACTAAATGAGTTAGTGTACGGAAATCCTTTACAATGTGCCAGGCACTGTTCTTGCTCCCATGATTATTAATCCTAGTGATCAGGGAAGGCTTCAAGGAGGAGGTGGGACTTGGCCAGATCTTGCAGGATGACTGAGTGAGATTTTCGGGGGAGGGAAGGAAAGCACAGGGCTTTCCCATCAGGAAAAAGCCTAAATGAGGAGTCTAGGGGACCAGGTAGCGGATGTGAGTCGGGGGCTTCAGGGGGAGGGGGAGGAGACCAAGACCTTTGTGCTCTGTGGGAGATTAAATCAGAACTGTAGATTAAAGGCAGCTTCTAGGAGTCTTGACTTCCAGGCCAAGAATGTAGTTTCACTGGAAGTTTTTGTTGTTGTTTTGTTTTGTTAATCCGCACACTAGGATATATTTCCTTTGATTTTTAGGGAGAGTGGGAGAGGGAAAGACAGAGAGAAATGTCGATGTGAGAGAAACACATTGATTGGTTGCCTCCCGCACACACGCACCTGACCCTGGTTGGGGAGGAGCCTGCAACCGAGGTACGTGCCCTTGACCAGAATTGAACCCGGGACCCTTCAGCCCACAGGCCGATGCTCTATCCACTGAGCCAAACCGGCTAGGGCTCATTGGAAGTTTTAAAGCCAAACAGATTTGGGCTCAGATTTTGACTCTGCCCCTCATGACCAGTATGATCTTGGAAAAGTTTCTTCCACTTTCTAAGCCTTGGTTTCCCCATCTCTACAAGGGAGTAGTAGCAGTATCCACGACCAGGGGGTGGAGGTAAGGAAATGATACAGTACATGGAAACATCCAGGCATTATGTGAGAAGTGCTTTTTATTATTCATTCAACAAACATAGCCATGTTTTTTCCTGAGCCAGGAACTGCAAGCAGCTAGATATAGAGAGATGAATGAGACATTGTCCTCGCTCCTGGATATCTCACAGTCCAGTCAGGAAGCAGAGATGGAAACACAAGACAGATCCGATAAGTGAAATAAATAATGACACAATGTACATGGAGAGCTGGCACCGAAGAGGGATGGCCTGCTCTGCCTGGGAGGTCACTTCAGAACACAGACCGAGCTAGACGGACCTGGCCTGAGAGCAAGAGGCGGCTTGTTTATTAGGCTGCTGAGGATGAGAAGAGTGAGGACGGGCAAGGGCGTTTCAAGCTGAAGGAATCCTGTGTGCAGAAGTGTGGCCCAGTAGGGACATGGGAAGAAATTGGGTGTGTCTGGAGCCTGGATTGTTGCAGGAAAGGCGGTTGCAGGGAGATGTGGTCAAACTGTGAATGGACTAGGCCCTGGGAAGCCCTGAAGAGTTTTAAGCAGGGGCTGACTTGGTTGGACCACTTTGGGCTGTGAGTTGCAGGGTGAAAAGACCTGCTGTAGAGGGAGATTGCTAAGAGGCCTATGAATGTTCTGAGGGGAGGATCTGAGGGGGGCCTGGCCTTGGGGCTGTGCTGATGGTGATGGAGGGATGAAGAGGGTTTCTAGGAGCTTAGTGTAGTTTTTAGGTTTAGAAGGTGGCACTGGTGGGCATGAGGAACAGGGCCGCGCCGATTGCTGGGTGCCTACCTGACCAGGGAATGTAGGGAGGGGGGGAGGGTATTGAGGTCCGTCTGGGACATGTGGAGTGTCCCATGAGACACTCAGTGGGAGCTTTCCTGAAGGCAGGCGGATACATAGATCAAGAGGACAGAAAAAAGGTTTGCACCAGAGTCACTGGAAAGTTCTAAGTGTGTGTGCATCTGTGTGTGTTGTGTGCACGCTGATCACAGCCATATTTGGCCAGGTGTATCTGGTACCGGTGCCAAGGGAGCCAGGCTGGGGATGGGCAGGGAGACCAACCAATAGGAGTCTATGCAGGAAGCCAGGTGGGGCGTAGGGCTCTGGCGACTAGACAGAGGCCAAGGGGGTTTTGTGCTCCGGGGGCTTTTCTGTCCGAAGGAGGTAGGTGATACGGCTGAGCTCACGCAGGCACACTGAGGCGGATGCGCACCGGCACATGCTGGGGCCGCATGGTGCGTGGCTCACTAGTGGGATCCCTGGAGCCTGGCGGAGTGTGGGTGGCCTCGTGGGTGCTCAAGAAGTATTGGCTGAAAGCAGGGCCTTTGCCAAACGCAGGTAAGGGTGGTGGAGATGTGGAGTGTGGTGTTAGTGGTGGAGTTGGGTGGCAGACAAGTGACTGCTGAGCGGACAGCTGAGGGTGCAGGACTGGCACCCAGAGAAGAGATGGGGCTGCAGGCAGTTTCGTGGGGGAGGGGGATGTCCCTAAGCCACAGCAGTGACCTATCACTGAGGAGAAGAGAGAAGAGTGTGGAGGGTGTGGGACTGAGGCTGGAGGGGCCCGGG